GTTAAAACCGTTTTTTTTTTTTTTTTTTTTTTTCCTCTGTTGTTCTTTCGCCCTTCTCCCTAGCGCTCTAAATGGCTTCTTTCGGATGGAAGCGAAAGATTGGCGAGAAAGTTTCCAAAGCCACTTCGCAGCAGTTCGAAGCAGAGGCCGCCGATGATACCAGTCAGGTCGAGGATGAGGAGGATGCCTGGGTGCACGCAGCCAAGAGGAGAAAGGAAGTTCTTGTGGAAGACTGCGTGAGGAAGAGCAAGCAGCTGAAGGAGGAAGGTGCAAATCTGGCAGAAAACAGCAGGTACTGATGTTATTTTTCTATTTCTAGGTTGAGTAAATGCTGAAGGTTATTTTCATCCCTTTTCAAATGTTAAGCAGTTTGCTAGATGTTACATTCATGTTTTCATGTTTGTAAAAGAAAGCAGTTCTTTTCACTTTAGGCACTTTCTCTATTGCTGCATCAATCGTTTGGATCAGCACTACAACAGCCCTGTAGTTGTTTTATGTGGTGCTGTTCTTGGCACCTGTGAATTGAAGTCTCTGTTCAGTCTTGTTTCTGAATGTTAAAAAAGTGCGTGATAGAAGTAGAGGACTAAAAAAGTGATTTGATCTGCAAACTAAAAGGGTAACTAAAATTTTGTGAGGTGGGCCATGCTGTAAGCCATGTTGTAGCTCTTCTGCGCCTACCCTGCTAATTGTGAATATGTGATAACGTCTCTGCTTCTGTTGAAGAGTGAGTTTCTCTGTGGGTACAGGGAGTAGGCAAACTGCTGGGCACCTGTGCGTGGTGAATCCACTGGTTCCAGTTCACCTTGCAGGCAGTGACGTTCAGGTAATCGCCCTGAACATCCCTTCTGGTTGGCGAGTGCTGAGCCTTGAGGCTTCCACAGCTTCAGGAGGGTAGTGACATCGTCCTCTTCTGCTTCATGCAGCAAGTAACCGTGAGAAGGAGGGGGCTACAGGGGAGAGAGTGCAAGTTACATACTAAGTTATTTGGCTAGATTCCCCCTGGGGAAGGGAGGAGGGGAAGGAATCCCTCCAAAAGCAGCAGCTCTTGTACTGCTTGGCATGCTTTAGTAGTACGAGCATCTCTGCTTTATTCGTGTCCCCGAAGAGAGGTGACGTTATAACGCTTAGCTTTCAGGTATACGTATCTCCATAAGAAGTCTATGAAGGCTCCTGTTAAATTCTTGCTTTTAACAAATTTCAGTGTAAAAATAGGTGCCCTGAGTGAGGTAGAAGGGGACAATTCAGAAGTTTAAAACCTACAGTGTAAGTGTAGGTCTTTAACAGTGGAAATAAATTAGACCAGGCTTTTTGCAGAGAACTGTTTGTACATATGCACAATTTCATAGAAATTGTGTTTGCAAGCTTGAGGAAGTGGAAAAAACTCCAAGGCTTTTGTTCTACAGCTTGTAGCTGCTAATGTTGATTCCATTTACTGTATATTAGGCATAAGCTTTGCCTAGTCCTTCTCTTCATTTTCTTTTCCTCTGATATGTTGTAAACAAAGAATTCTCAGTTCCTTGTGGTTGTTGGTGTTTTGCATCTTTTTTAATGTACTATATAAAATGCAATCATGCTTGCTTTAGCAAATGCTTGCTAAACAGCAGCAAATAATTGTTACATTTGTGGATTAGGTTAGGAAGACTGGTTTATATTTATTCTAAGTAACGCTTTATTTTTTTAATTTAATGAAAGATGTCCTTCATCAGCGTAACTATAAACTATCTAGTAGCTCTCATAACAAGCACAAAAATTAAAATGCAAGTTTTGGGAGGCCCTTTCTTAGTTTAGTGTGAACCCTATTACATCTGAGGCCCAAGAGAGGAAACTTACGAAAATTGTAGTTTCCACTTTTCAGGGGAACTGCCCAGAGTAGTCAGTTGCTGCAAAAAAATGGAATAGTTGACATACCTCTACGAGTAACTTGAGGAAACAGTCTGCAAAGAATACTCATTTTTTCTAAAACAGTGTGGTGGAATTGTATTTTAAACAGTTATTTTTTGAATATTCATTTTTGTAAGACAGGCTTATGCAAAGAACCGAGTGCTTTTTATTTCTCTATAAATTGTTATATGCAGTAGTATTATAGGACAGGTTTTGGGTTGATTAATGCAGCATTCCGTGAAAAGGACAGTATTTGCTCTGCTGGAGAGCAAAGAGACTGGGTTTCTGCTGGAGAAACCCAGAAGGAAACGCAGAGACTGAGCGCTAGAGAAACCAAGGTGGTATTTTAGTTGGTTTTATTTGTAAGATGGAGGGAGGAAGAGGGGAAGAAGAAATGAACAGCTTTCGAAAGGAGCTAGAGGCCAACTAAAGGAAAGAATGGAAAAGAATAACTTCATCTTCATTCCTTACAAAAGAGGGACTCCAAACATATGCATAGGAAAATTAAACTAATGTAGTCAAAGATGGCTTTTCTATTCAGTTAGGGCAGCGATGGAGACCTTTGTGCTCGGTTAAGCCTGGCAGCTTGTTCCCTGGAAAGGGAGAGCCGGGTGTTGTTGCCTTCCCCTCTCCCAGCCATGCACACGGGCTGCTGCTGCTGTTAGTCTCCATACACGCAGTGCCTCTGAGCGAGCTCGGGCTGTCTTGTGCTTGTAGGTTAAGCCTCAGTTCTTCTTGGGGCTGCCGGGAAAAAGCCCGTAGAGGCAGAGCTGGCTGCTGACTGGCAAACTGGGGACGGCACCGTGAGCTCGTGGTGGCTGCCGCCTCCGAAACTGGGTTTTCAGCTTCCGTGGGAGCTGCCTGGGGGCTCTGCGTGTGCAGCCTGTTCAGCCTGAGGAGAAGCAGGAAGAAATCTCGCATAAGAAAACAGTTTGTGATCCGCATTTCATTTTTACTTATTTATTATTTATCTTTTTTTTGTGGGGAGTGGGATGGGGTGGGGTGGCAGTGGCGAGAGAGAATAAGGAGAGGCAGGAACACGCGTGATGCACTAGGCTGGTTATCCTGGCAGGTCTAATGTAACCCGGAGGTCGTGGCCCAGGAAATTCTGACCTAGAAGCTTCCTGAATGGGCAGTCAGGAGGGGGATGACTTGTGAGTGAGTAGCAGTGTTAGAACAACAGGCTCATGAGTGGAAGAGCTGAAATCTGCCTGCTGCTTGGTATGTGGGAAGGAATGATTTAAAAATTTCCACTCCCCTCCCCACCCCACCACCAAGGACTTTTCTTTTTTTTCTGTGAAACAGAGAACAATCAATTGGTGGGAGGAATGGAAAATATTTGGCTGAAATTCACATGCTGGCAGATTATCCAAAATGAGGTACCAGCATGAATGTGCCCCACACACTGGAATTAAGTGAGATAAACCCATTCAGAAGTCCAGTTTAGGTGTTTTGTGTGGATGGTCCTAAACAGTTTTAAATTTATCACTGCTTTCAAGGATAAAAATGGGCATTTTTGGAGGCAGTGGCAAATTGCAATAGGTTATTTTGATTGGTAAGTCACCTTTGTATGTAGATCCAGGTTTAGGCATCAGTGCAGGGGAGATTAAATAATGTGTCCTCAGACTGACTGATGTGTAGAGAACTAACATTAAGGAGTGAAAAATGTGTGTGTCAGCCTAGTATGTTCAGTACAATTGAATTACATATTGATATGGTTTATTCTACTTTACCCCAAGCACAGTCTCCTCTTTAAACAGCAAAAGTTTTTGTAACTGTCCAGTAGGTGGAGTTCAAGCTCTTCTCAAAGTATCCTGAAGATGAGCTAAAAAAATGCTAGCTTAAATACCTTATTTTTTTTTTACAAAGAGACACTTTCGGATTTAAGTTTTTATAGATTTGTGTTTTAGTTTTTCAATTGTTTTGAAAAGGTAGTAGTAAATAAAAATCATATTAATGCTGCTCTTTTACTTCCAATTATATTTATTCCTTATTCCATTTTACGTTCACTATTTTAGAAACAGAAAACTCTATTTCTAAAGCTGGTAATTGTTTGGAAAGATCATAGCTTTAACTGGAACAAACTTTTAGCTGATCTGTAAAATAAACTATTTATTTTAAACACAGGTGACTGTCACTTTATTCGTTGATATAAATTAGTCTGGTAAATTTATTCTTCCATTTGCCATTTTGCAGTAGCAAATTAAACAGACAAGTTTAATTTCTCTGTTTATTAGAGAAATTGATTATTCTCTAATTATTGTTTGAAGCTGAAGTGCTATAGTCAGAGCAGATAATTGGTTAGTCCTCAGAAATAGTTCACTTTTCCAGCTAAATTATTCTTTAGGAGTTGTTCTGTTCAGCTTTTTGACTTTATTATTTTTAAAGAAGTTCAACTTTTGTGAAATGCCATTGTAAGCTCGATCGCTAAAATGCGGATTTACTTATTTTTTGTCACAAATATATCAGAACCATTTCAACATACCTAGCTTGTCATTCCTTGGCAATATATGCCACAGTGAGTTCTGCTTGCTAGACACTGTCAGATGTCAGTGAAGAGATTATCATTCACAATTCTTTAAAATAAGTGCTTAGTGTGGTGGTCAATGGGTCAACTGTCATGAAAAACAGGTTTAGCAGATTGAGCAAAAGATTACTATCTATTTTTAAAAAAGTCTGTTGTGATTATGTATTGGTTATATTTGCTCTGAATTTAACAGTGTCTTTCAGGTTTAGGTTATGTTAAGTACTTGATTACTAATGAGTTAGGCAAGCACTAAAGTAATAAAATTCCTTTCAAATTACTTTGTTAATTCGTTTAGATACAGCTAACATGGCAAAGGGAAAAGACCACTGTGGAAATTGCGATAAACCTTTGGTCGATAAAATTGATGCAACTTACACACTGCAGATGTTCATAAAGTTTTCCAGAAGATCCACCAGCTGTCTTTGCTTGAAACATTTCAGCAGCTTAGTTACACTGCCGGGGCCTTGGAAAAGTGAGGTACTTTAGAGTATGTGGGATAGTTTTAGCAGTGGGCTGTATTAAAGACAAGAGGGGTTCAGGAGAGCTAAGTGATCTCTTTTGTTCGTTTTTGTGTTCCCAAGGATTACTCTCCTCCCAGCCTCAAGACTGACCCACTCCAGTGAACAGGAAATCAAAGGTGATAGCAGGTCTGCATGGATTAAACAAGTTGTTCCTGGCAAAACTAGGATACAAAATGGAAGCATAAGAGAACTGGAAGCTGGGTTAGGGGATCCAGGAGGAATATGGAGTATGCAGGATTCGGATTAGGAAAGCCAAAGCCCAGCTGGAATCAAATTTGGAAAGGATATGAAGGGCAACACAAGGGTCTAAGTGCATCGGTAGCAAAAGGAAGACTAGGGAAAATGTGAGCCCAGTGTTGAATG